GTGTAAAGTTAACTTAATCGATTTGTGTTGGGACAACATGAATGAATTGTGTGGAACCCTGCATTCCACAACTGTGGATGTCTCAAACTCGATTCCTGGAGGGTCACAGCTCTGCACATTTTTTTGCTGCAACCCTAATCAAACATAGCCAGCCAGGCCCGGATTAAGAACTCAGGGGCCCCTGGGCACATTCACTTGTAAGATCCCCTACCCGACTGCACCCCTATAGTTGAATTAAAAAAAATATTTATAAGTATAAAAAAATAAAAATAATTTATTTATATATATATATATATATATATATATATAATTTTTAAAGGGTCTTTTTAATGTATAACTTTTACAAACTTACGAAGCATATTATTGGCATGGCATATAACACACAATGCCTCTCCAATCTGGTTCTATGAATCTGAGTCTTTTATAGTTTACACACTTATTAATGATTTACTCTCTTTCTCCTCTCCCTGTATTTTCTCTACTCTCCTAGTGATGAAGAGGCAATCAGCATAGATCAACTTGATTATAAACCTTATGTAGCTAACATTTAACACCAGGTGAAATAACTGTTTATAGAATGCAATTACTATTTAGATGCTGTTACACATATGAAATAAGCTAAGGTTAAAAACTTTTAAATACTCACGAGGCACTTGTGACTATATCACATTTGCATTATTATTTTTTTTATTTTTCTTTCCTATTAAAAAATAAATATATTTCCAATCTGATATGTAAAATTGAGAGAAAATGTTGCACGAGCTCAGTAGATGGTGGATTGGTACCGGGTTGATGATTGAACGCATCAAAAGATGATGCTGTGTGCTTTAGGAGGTAAACCACTCACGCTGTAGTCTTGCTTCGCTCTGTACTCATGTTCTCACTCTGTCAATCAGGCATTGATGGGCATAAACTGTGAATAGCTTATTCCAACTAGGTGCGCTATTTGCACTTAGCCTAAAAAGACACTCTGAAATTGGCTTTTTTTTCCTCCCCTTGCAGGGACCCCAAGTGCACAGGGGCCCCTGAGCCTGTGCCCATAAGGCCCAGTGGCTAATCCGGCTCTGAACATAGCTGATCCAACTAGTCAAGGTGTTCAAGACTACTAGCTCGTGTGAGTTGGAGGTGGTTGGAGCTAAACTGTGCAGAGCTGTGGCCCTCCAGGAATTGAGTTTGAGATCATTGCTGTACTTGGACGTTTTGTTGGTCTTAAACTGTACAGCTTCACACTTGAAACGTTCTAATATAATTTAGATTTCATATAATTACCTAGTCTTATTCAGAAATGGAAAAACACCATTATAGAAAATCTTAAAAAGTCTACCCATAGGCCTATATACTTTTGTTTTAATTGTATAATTTTTTTTTTTATTTGCAAAGTTTTATGAATGACTAAGGACAATGTTTTCTGACAAAACGTCTTCTTCACAGTTGTGTTGAAGAAAACAAAATCTACATCACAAATAACCTGAGGTTGCCAATAGTAACAGCAAAGCTAACATTTTGTAACAGTTTGTCATTTATAAACACTTTTTTTTTTTATAAATTCAGCCATAATAATAAACAATGTTCGATTACAAGCAAAAGAATAAAAAATAAAAAAAACCTCTTCAGGATTAAATTTAAATAAACAACACTGTGGCCTATAATTTTACCTCATCAACATGAGTTTGTGAATGTTGGCACTTTTTAGCCTTCTGATTAGACAAATTTGCCCCTTCCTATCATGTACAAGCTATTCACGCTGAATCTGACCAGAATAGATGCTATCTGCAAAAATCTCTGTGTACATAAACATCAAGTTTCTATCAATTAAGTTGTATGATAACTCTTTCTGATGCAGCTCATGCAAGCGATGGTAAACAAGTGTTGGAAACGTCTCCAGGTAGACGACATGCCAGAAGTTTCAGCTTCTGCATTTTGTCGCCTGCGGCTACATCTGTCTGACTCTTTCTGTTGTCATCGGTCCCACGCCTGAAAAAATGTGCATATTTACAAACAAAATCGAAAGTCATAGGGTGCTGCCCGAGAAAAACATGCTTAGGAAGGTAATAAATCTTCAAGCTTATATATTTATTCACTTTACCTTACATGGAATTTCCCTTAATGGGTCAAATGCACGCCAGCCTCATCGCTTCCGGTGAACTGTCTTTCCATTATAAAAATGCCACGTTTGAGGTCGGATTTCTTTAAAAACCAGTGATCTTCACTGCCTGATAGTTATACAATATAAAGTGGGTATCAGACAGGACAAGAAGCACTGCATTAAACTCCCCCGTTATCTCTTTAAAATATGACAGTGTAGTATTTTCAATAGAGTTTCTGCGCTAACCTGCTGATACTGACGGTGCTAGCGGTTACACTGTCATTAGTCTCGTTTTACGCCTGAACAACTAAATGAATGCTTAATTCTATTTAACTGAATTTATTGTAATTACATTACAACATCCATGCTGTTAAAGCAACCTTAGGCAATTGAAATACATTAAGCTTTCACCGAAAGTTTATCATAGGCTGAAAAACATTAGCTGCAACCCATTGTTTAATTTATTTACTAAGTCAACACTTCCTGTGTGTTATAATCATTTAATGGCAAACATATTAATCAAACCATAAAAATTCCCACTTGGCTAGGCCTACTAATTAAAATACTGATTTATCGTTTGCATATTATTCACATTTTTGAGTATTATCTTCCAAAATATGGTTGAGCAACATGCAGCATGATTTAATAATAAAAATAAAATTATTTACAGCCACCCAAAATATAAATAGCAAAGAATTGTATTTTAAAGAATGAATATTTACAGTGAGTTTAATCACACACAAGTGAGTAATTATGTTTAAATATAATTCTTTAGCATTAATTAATTTATTTTGTTGTATTGTTGTTAATGTATTTAATTATACAATTTCAGCCATAAGTGTGAAACATTAGGATTAAGATAAATAAATAAAATCTGGGTGACATTTTAATTTGACAATACTCAATATGAGAATTGGCATGTAATTGCAATGCAACTTTTAGTCAACAAAACGTGCAATAGGGACCCTATTGATATAAGATGGCAGAACTCAAACTCAACAAAATGCATTAAAGGGATCGTCAAAATAAAGTGATACCAAAATCTGCACTCTTGCAAACATGGATATTTACATCAGGAAATAGAAATTAACCTGTTAACTGTCACACTTTATTTTGATGGTCCATTTGTTGAATTTAAGTTACATTCCATCTACATGCCAACTAATTCTCATTAGATCATAAGACTCTTAGGTTGGGGTAAGGGTTAGTGTAAGTTGCATGTACTTGCAAAGTTTCTTATAGTCAGTTAAATGTCTGTTTAGCAGCAGTATCAACAAGCAGACAGTCTACTAATACTCAAATGGGCCATCAAAATAAAGTGTTACCATATATATATATTTTTTTATTTTGTCTAAATATGAAGTTATCTTCACAAACTATATATAATATGCTTACACTGTATCCTTAATTTCAATTGTGAACTTCATAATTAGGTTGACATCAACAAAAACAGCGAATGTAAAACAGAAAACAATTTATTTCACTTTCTAAAACACAACAAAATGTCCCAGTGTGTACATTTAAGTACTGAGTAATATTAATTAACAATTAATAATATAAATTAATTATGCACTTGTTCTAGCTTCTTGGATGTAATTATGCATAATTCTCTGTTATCAATACAGTAAGTAGCTGAAATGTGTGACAAGGACAGTGTAAATCGGTGTTTCCAAAACATCCTAAAATTGAATTTTTTTTTGTAAAGTTTTATTAGTATTTATGATAAACTTCCCACAAAACATTTGAATTAATTCCTGAGATTTGTGTAAAATATTCATTTAAATCGTTCAAACAAAAACAGTGCAAAATAGTGTTAACAACAAAAGCAAACCATTTTAAAAATTAATAGCTTCTGAGGTCATTTCTTAAAATGAGAGAAATTTCTTAGAAAATATGAGATGTTCAACGTCCAAAAAAGGAGCAGAAAACCTTGTCAAAACAGTCCATGTGACGTAAGTGATTCAACTGCAATGATATAAAGCTCCGAGAACAATTTTGTGTGCCATGAATATGTAGGAATTACATTGTTTTTCTGTCTTCTCTTCCACTTATTCATATTAGAGCCAACAGTGCAATACACAAACATCATTTTCCACCATGGTAAATGCACACCTTGATTTGAGATATAGGCGAACAGTCATTTTTAAGTCATTGCTGAGAATGCATGGAATGTTTTGACAATGTTTTTGGTTCCTTTTGGACTTTCAATGTCTCATGACCATTGTTTTTTAATGTAGGATGAGAGAGCTTAATTATTTTGGGTGAACTAACCCTTTATTTCCTTAGAATTCAGCCAAATATTTTATCACCGAGTTTTTACTTTCTTTTTAAACACTACTTTAAGACACATGCATTTCACAATAGAGTAATTATGCAAAATTCCTTGTTTTTAATACAGTATGTAGCTGAAATGTGTGACAAGGACAGTGTAAATCGGTGTTATCAGAAACGTCCTAAAGCTGAATTATTTTTATGAATAGATTTATAACTATTTATGGTTACATTTCCAACGAAATATTTGCGATGTCTCAATTAAAAAACAAAGAATTAATTCCTGAGATTTGAGTAAAATATTCATTTAAATCTTTAAAAAAATGATAAACATTTAATATTATAGTAAAAATTTCTTAGAAAATTTATGAGATGTTCAAAATCCAGAAATGGAACAAAAAGATTTTGTCAAAACAGTTCATATGACTTGAGTAGTTCAACTGCAACAATACGAAGCTCTAAGAACATTTTTGTGTGCCATAAAAGCTAAAGATTATGTTATAAAAATTAAAAATACTTTGACTTTCTGACTTCTCTTCCACTTATTCTTATTAAAATTAACAGCGCAATACACAAACACCATTTTCCACTATGGTAAATGTGCACCCTGATCCAAGACATAGGCGAACAGTCATTTTTAAGTATTGCTGGGAAGGCATACAGTAGAATGTTTTGACAATGTTTTTGGTTCCTTTTGAACATTTAATGTCTCATGACCATTGCTGTCAATGTAGGATGAGAGAGCTTAATTATTTTGGGTGAACTAATCTTTTATTTCCTTAGATTTGAACCAATTTTTCAATCACTGAGTTTTTACTTTCTTTTTAAACACTACTTTAAGACATGTGTATTTCACAATAGAGTAAATCAGGACACAAAATAACACCAATATCATCAGCAGAGTCAAAATAACATCTATAGAGTGGTACTCAATCCAGGACATTCTGAAAGACTGTGTCCGTAAATGAGAAGCTCCTTTATTCCTCATGACAAACTCAATCCAGAACATGGCACGATCAAGAGGTTTCATTGGCTGGTCATGGTGCACCTTGGACAGTCTCTGAATGTTTTCCTTGTAAGATGGGTTGTACAACACTTCCTTCAACGCCTCCAGAAACATTGTCCTGTTTAACTCCGCAATATCCAAAAGTTTTGCTGTGCCTCTAACTTTCATTCTAGACAAGTTGTCAGGTTGATCGAACACTAAAGGGAGACCCAAAATGGGAACTCCGTGATAAATGGCTTCTTGGATTCCATTGGTGCCTCCATGTGTTATAAACACTTTAGTTTTAGCATGTCCAAGCAGGTCATTCTGAGGTAACCAATCGACAAGTAATGTATTATCACCAATATTGACAGGTCGAGGTCCAGTGTGTCTCCAAATGATTTTTTGGGGAAGTCCAGCAAAAGCGGCAGCAATTTCCTCTGTAATATCTTCTGGAAGATGGGTAAAAAGAGTCCCGAGGGACATAACAATGAGTCCATGATCTCCAGAACTCTTCACAAACTCTTCAAGATCATCTGGAAGCGGCTTGGATGGTTTGCACTGGAAGCCTCCCATATAGACAATATTTGGCATTGTGGGTCGAGGAAACTCAAACGTGAAATCGTTTCTCATGAGCCAGATGTCTGCATCCTGAAGGATAGCTTTGTAATTGATTTCTGATCCAAAGTATTTTTCGCAGAAGGATCGGTAGTGTTTGGAGACGGTCCTTGCTTTCTGGAATTTTGAAAACATGTATACCAATATGTTCTGCACACGTTGAACAAACGTCATCTTATCGGTTAGCTCTAATCCTGGGACAGGAATATACGACAGAGGTGAAGGAGCTATTTCAAAATGTGCCTCTCCATGCATCGTCCAGCGGACATTCAACACAAGAGGAAGTCCAAGACGGTAAGCCAAGAAAAATCCACCACCGACAGCTGGATCTGTTAGAAGTAAATCATACTTTGCCGTCTGAAGTGAATCCATCAAGTCTTTATTTTTAAATATATTCCCCATTAAGTTAAGCTGATTGCGATGCATCTCTTCAAATACCGCTCCAACTTCTGAAACTAGTTTGAGTTTTGTCCAAAAGGACCGTTTCTGTCTCCTGATGACCAGAATATTTCTCGAAAACTCCTCAAACAGCTCCTTTTCAATGCCACCGCTATTGTAAACAGTGATGGAGGTGTAGAAAGGAGACTCCTCCTTGATATACCAGCTGTTTGAGGCTCTAAGCACGGTCACATTGTGTCCTCTTGTATGTAATTCCTCAATCAGAACCTTCATGTTCACCCAGTGACTTCCATCCAGAGGAAACACCAACACTTTACCTCCAAACACTAGAGATAATATGCTCAAGAATGCTAACAATGTTGCAGGGAGGGAAGGCATCTTTTTTTTTTTGAACCTTAAATAAAAAATGACATTGATTATGTAACTTTAAATATCAGTTTAACATAGCTACAAATAACTGTTGAGGTAAAATGAAGTTAATCACTCTCACTTACCAGCCGCCTGAAAATACAACCACGCAACCAAGCCAGGTGAATTACTCACTGCATTCCGCTACTAAAGTTGTTTGGAAACAAGTCCAGCCCTGCTAAAACGTGCAACCCAGTGGGAGTGTGCATTGGAAAATTACAACTCTGTCGTACAAAGCATGTTTAAGCTTGTGCATGGTTTTGTGTAAAGAAGTGTGCAGATTTAGTCTTACATTTTCTTTGACACAAGTAAAAAAGCCTGCAGAACCACTTCGACAATGTAGACAACAGCACTAGTGGAAGCTCAAAATGAAACGCACATCAGGAGAGATGTGGAAAGTAGAGTATAATATGTATTTCTATTATTTTTCTAATTGATATTTAATACAAATATTAATAATAATAAATGTTTAACACGGACCCTGCTGCCACAGGAATGATTTGAAACACAAAACATAATTTGAAATGAAAATGAGTGACAAATTTCTAAACACAAACCAAACGTGATGATATAGTCGCAGAGCTTGTTTACCTCCAACACAAAATGGAAAGAAATGCTTGTCCTTATTGCAGTTTCAGTAATTTACCTGCTGCTTTTCTTTTCGACACAAGATGGCAATGAGGACTATCATTATTTTAAAAATTATTATTCATTTTCTTTTAAGCTTAGTCCCTTTATTAATCAGGGGTCGCCAAAGTGGAAGGAACCGCCAACTTATCCAGCATATGTTTTACGCAGCAGATGCCCTTCCAGCCACAACCAATCACTGGAAAACACCCATCACACTCACACACATACAGTACGCTCAGTAAGCGGGCAATATTGCTTACCCAATTTGCCTATACCGCGAATTACATTTAGGCATAATTTGCTTGAGTAAAAGTATTGGGTAACGTGTACTTTTTAAGTAGTATGTGTACTTTTACTCTTACTTGTAAATTATTAAAGAAAAACCATTGCTCTTACTTCGCTACATTTGTCGGCGTTCCTCCGTTACTGTCAAATCATAATAAATATGATCCATATGTTTTGTTTGCAAATATCGCGAGTCGCCGCTTTGGAGAGGTTGTGTCGCGAGAGGTTGCTGTAGAGACCAAGTGTGCCGCAAGCCTGCGTTTGAGTGAGGGTCTCGGCCGTTAGATCGCCCCCTGGGGGCTGGCTGTAGTACAAGTCATAAAGCCCGCCTCCTCCGTGTTAATGAAGGAGACTTGAGCCCAAATAAAAAAAATTATTACACATGCAATAAAATGTCCCGAAAGATAGTTCTGATCGATTAAGGCACTGGTTATTGTGCTGAAATAGGTGCAGATCTTCATTTTTGTAAACAGTTTGTTTTTAGCAGTAATTTAATGCTGGGCGTGTCATCGATTGACAGCTGTGATTGACAGTTTCTCAAAGCGCGGCGTCTGAGCTTCGGCAGGAGACTGAAGTGTTATTATTCGATTTCTGTGTTATTTTACCATGACAAAATGAGTTCAGCAGTAAACTACAGTTTCTGACATACATGATCCTGGTGGAACACTGTTTATTCGCTAAGTTCAGGGCTTTTTTCGGGCTTTATTAGTTTGCTGATACACGCCTAGCCACCCAGATAGCAAAACACAGTTCCGGCTAGATTCTCGCCGGAGACTTATCTCTTAGAGCTCAGACTGACTACCTCTGCTGGACCTACTCCGGATGCCTGGACTCACTACCCAATTCCAGCCCGAGTCAATCGAGCCAGATGCGGCGGAATGCGAGCCGGAATCAGCCCGCGACGCCGCGAGTAGGTTATGCGCTGCGGCCCGGAGCTGGCGCGATTGAATATATAAAACCCTCATATTTGTTAACGTTATTACATCCATCTGTGTTGATATGACAGCAAACGCATGCTGAGAAGTTCGGGGGGCGTGGTTGATTTTACATAAAGCGTTTGGTTGGAAGCTCGACTCCGCTCATTTTCGCGGCTCCTCCTCTGGCTCCATCAGACAGTCCTTCTGCGCATGTCAAGGCTCCAATTTCAGCAGTCTTTTGCGACAGTTTGTGCCCGTCAAGCAGGCGTTTTGCCCTCAAGGCGTTCAATGGGAAAAAGGGCTGTCGCGTCGTCCATATTTTTTACAGTCATTGGTAGAGACGCGTCTCTGCTTTTGGTAGGGTGCAAACGCCATACGCCCGCCTGTGTTGGCTGAAGTTGAGGAAGATGTGCGATTTTATACTGTGGTCCCGTTTGCCATCTGCGGTTCCGAGAAGGACGGTCATGTTGTCTGTGCAGTGAGTTTATCGGACGAGGTCACCCGGCCACAAGTTCAGTCTGTTTGCACTCAGATGTCAACAAGAATAGTTTGATAATACCCTAACCGTAACCTTTGATTAATATCAGGAGAGGCTGATGCTCAAATAAAGATGCTTTCTTTATTTATTTATAATTTTATTTTGTCATTTAATAAAATTAATGCATTTGTTTAGCTGGTCAATGCTTGGCTGAAACGGCACAAATCTTACTTAATCCTAAAACACCACAGTTTGAGTTAAGTTGTGGATCACTTTTTAACTTTCAAGTTTTGCATAACAAATAAAGGAACTTGGAGTTCGTTGTTGGGCATCCTCAGATTACACAAGTAAGTGACATTTTACAAAAAGTGCTTTATTTATTAAGAGACACTTGCTGTAAAACTCAAAACAGCTAAGAGCAGCACGTCCCCCCCCTCTCTCTCACACACACACACACAAATTTTGTTTTATAAGTTATTAAATCAAGATAATATGCAGACACAAGCCTGTTTGTTTTCCATCACAACATGAACAAAAAATATACGCTATTATCAAAAGTTAATAGTAATTAGGCCTAGATGTAGCGCAATATTGCGTTTTTATAAAATATTAAATCAGCAAATGAAGCGAATAACTAATGTCCTTCTTCAGTGTGTAGAATGTGAATGAGTTAAATCAAAATATCAACCAGAATAAAAATACATCCAAACATCCATGAACATCCAAAATCAAACAAAAAGTGCCCATGGGTATAACTTCAGTAATGTGTCGGTGCTCTTTGGGTGACGGATTCATCAGAATAAACAGCAAAAGTTAGTCCAAGGCACTCGAAAAATGTGGGAAAAAATATTAAAAAGCCTTTATTCACATGGCTATTCTGTAACTACATGTTTCGGCAAAAATAAATAAATAAATAAATAAATAAAAATCAGGGTAACAGTCTGTTACCTGTCACTGTTACCCTATGAAGTCAGTCAGGCACGTGCACACATAGGGCTCAACCTGTGCAGTGCACATGCTCTTTTTAGGGCCTACTCACACTATGCCATCCGTACCGTGCACAGGCCCGTTTCCCGGATCGAAAGTGCCCTTCCAAAATGATCAAAAGTGCCCCCGCGACGCGGCACACCCTCGGTCCCGCTCTTCATTAGGCGCGCGACAACACCGCTCTTGAGTACGCGCGCGACAACACCACTCTTCAGTACGCGCGCAACAACAACAACACCCCCCCAACCCCCCTGCAAAAATTTATCCTGCACATGCCTTTTGGACGGTCTCTGCACGGGCCTGAAGTCAGTTCTTTGCCGAAATGCATAGTTTTAAGGATTAGCCATGTGATAAAAAACGTTCCACATTATTTGAGTGCATTGAACTGATTATCGATATGAACATTATTAGAAATGGGATCGTAAATGTTATTATATATTTTTATTTTATGACTTATCTTATACAAAACATGGCAAATAAGGAAGGTAAATACTTAAAAACGAACAGTACAGCCTATTTTGTAAAATACCTACATTTTGTTTTGGTATGCTTCATGAGTAACACTTAATCTCATCAAACCTTTATCACAACAAGATCTTGATAAACCAGATAACAATACAATCAATCGAATCAAATCATTTGAAAAATCAAAGGATGCATCTTTATTACCTTAAATAGAAGGGAATAATATCTGATGAATATTTAAATGGCATTTCACAAATTGCAATGATAAAACAATTCTGCACTACTGTAGAATAGAATAAAGTTAAGTGTTAAATATTTAATATTATAGCTTGACCTGTTGAACTGGACCATTATTTGGGTATATTTTAGCTTATCTGCATCAAGTAAAGCAGCCTTGAAAATGTAATATACTGTAACAAAAACACCCCTGCAGGGTCAGATTTAAATGTTTTTTACTAGGTATACGAGTCGGCAAGAGAAAATGTACTATGATTGGATGCCTCTTTATTGCATGGTATTCAAAGAACTTTGTCAGATAAGTGTTATAATTGAATGTGCCGTGGTTTTTGGCAGCGTGAGACCACTCTATAGAAGAGCAGCCACTCAAGAACATTCTGAGATGTAATAAGACTAAACCGCTTTGATGATGGACTTTGGCTAAGGGCTTTTTAGGCTTTTAAAAAAAAACTATTCAGATGTTGTGCAGTGTTGTTGGTACCATCATGAACATTTTTGTTATATTATAGTCTGTTTTTGATGCACATGCTAGAATGGTTAATGTATTTTCATTATGGTTTATGCAAATTCTTTCTTATCAAATAATAATTTGATGTTTCAAATATTTGATGTTTATTGAAATTTCATTTATGTGCATAATTTAACATTTATGTACTGTTGAGGATGTTTTTGGGTGACATATTATTTTGACACATGAATTGACAAAATGCACTCTTGTTATGTTCGGGATGAAAACAGCCACTAAATTAAACTGCTGTAAAAATGCATCAGATAGGTTTTTTTTTTTTCTCTCAAAATTTTGCATAAATCTGTTAATTAACCTCTCAGTCCAAAACTACTAAACTACTTTTAGAAAATTACAGAATTGTAACTCTTTAATTGCCAATTTTACAAATGATGTCACTGATTTGGTGAAAACAAAATGACGTATTTTCAATATAAAAAGTAATTGTGAACTGGATTGTTTTTACCTTTTATTAAAGACTTGGCCATGTAAAACAACATTGCCTTTGATGCATTGTTTTTGGTTAATTTTCATTTTTTCTCCCTAATTTACCGTTTTGTCCCATTAAAACAACATTTTTTGATTGCAAAACTGTGACACCATAT